AATTTTATTTAGTCTTTCAAAGAACCAGCTTTTTGCTTTTTTAATTCTTTTAATTGGTTTCTTCGTTTCAATTGAATTAATTTCTGCTCTAATCTTATGATTTCCTCCTGTCTTTGGGATCTAGGTTTGGTTTGCTCTTCCTTTTCTAGTTGTTGAACGTGCAGCATTAGGGTGTTTAGAATAATTTGTTCTAATGATGTTTGTAAATAGGATCTCAAGTCCACATCTTGTACAGGAATTAACTACTAAGATGAATATATGCAGTGTGTTATTTGTTGAAACTATACTTCCGATTTGATTTGAAACTGTCTCGTTGCTGTTTATCAATACAATTTTTGAAAAAAAAATAAAAAATAAAAGAAAGACAATACTTATAGATCAAGTGAGAAATCGACAATGGAAAAGGGTATCAGTGCTCTCAAACAGGTCCACTTGCCCCACTCCTATTCTGGGGAGTGAGACAAAAAGCCTGAGGGATGAAGCTAGACCAGATTCAAGAACAGAATTTTTGTTCACTCCCATACACACAGACACTAGAAAAAACAACATTCCTGTGCTCTCTACTGCGGCATATACTGGAGCAGTTGGGTCCCTGTCCCCACCAGACTCAGGCTACAGACAGGACACACATGTGAAGGATGTATACAGGGGAAATGCTTGATGTCATATATGCTGAGTTCATGTTCCTTGAAGCCTAAGAATGAATTCTAAGAAACAAGTGATGTTAAAAGTAGAAAAAATTATTGGATAAAAGAAATGGGGACTAGGAATAGCTCCTGAGAGACAAGAGTGGTCCAGAGTGAGTTGCTCGTGAGCCCATTTCTTAAAGAAAGTTTTATAGAGCAAGATCGTGATGCAGGTACAACATGGGTCAAAATTATGATTAAACAATAAGATTGCAAGTATAGATCCTTAGGTAATATTGATCCAATGGTAGCAAGGGGATATGGGTGATATCATTAACTTTGGTTGATCATCTATAATCTTAGTCTTGTTTTTAGTCTTAGTTTCAGTAGTCGAGAGAGAATGACCATCCCTAATTATGGGAAATCTCAAAAGGCTAATACCAATAATCTCAGGCTTCTATTTACCCTTTAGGAAAATTAACTAATGAGCAACTTGTAATGCCCACCTGAACTGAATGAGAGTGGTTCTGGGTGTGGAAGGCCCACCTGAGGATTGTTGTCAACAACATAAAAGAATAAGTGGAAGGGAAGATGGTGCTGTTGATTTTCCTGGAGAAGCTTATCATGATGGTTTTCCTGATAAGAACTTGGATGTTTTCATTGTCAGAGGAGATTGGGTCCTCACTGACACTGAGGATGGCTGCAGTTCTCTTCAGGGGAGCTCTGGTTCTTACCTTTAGCATTACTTCCTGGCTCCAGTGCAGAACCCACACCCTGTTGGCACAAATCCTTCATCCCACTGGCACAGACCTTCTAGGTTGCACCACTGACCTTTGGGCCTTCCTAGTATACATCCTTGATATGGACTTCCATAAGACATTTCTATAGGCTCTAGGTCTTCAGCTGGGCTGATGCAGTACATTGCTGTAGGATCCAGGCCCTCCACTGGGTTATTTGGGTCTCTAGTGTGTAGACAGATATCCTACATTCCTTTGCAATTGACTCTTTGGGTGGATATTATAAAATAATTCTATAAATTGTGTTCTGCATTACATCTTTTCACTTGTAAACTGTGACTACAACAGGATGTAGGTAAATCTAGCCATCATGACTATCATCTTCTTCAGATGCACCTCCAACCACAGTGTTGATGCACTCTCATCTTTTGTACTGACTCCCCTGAGGTTGCAGTCCTGTCTGACTTCCTACTATATTTATATCTAACTTAGTTGTCTATAATAATAGTACATCCACCTGAGTGCATTTAGCTCAGAGCCTGCTTGTCAGGCCTCTGACTGATTCATCTGCATATGTGTACATTGCTTGCCTTCCCAGAGTGCCATGGAGTCACAAGAAAGTGTACACAAAGTACCTGGCACCAGCTCTGTATTTCGAAGATCAGTTGAGCACACAGTTTAGCAGCACATCCAAAGCACCTAGTGGGCGTCCTGAATGTCCACTGAACTGAATCATAAGCACCAGCCCTTACCACAGACTGAGTGGGGTCTGTTCCTGCCATGTGCCATGTCACAAAAACATGTACCTACCTTTACAGAATATAGTGGGCATCTACAACTAAGACAATAAAGGGAGTGTGCAGACTCATGGGCTCTTTGAAATAATGATTAAGGCAGAAATAGAGCTGTGGAAGTCACCTACCGAACACCCTCCAGGCTCATGAAGGCTAAGGATCTCTACCCTTGCCCTGAGCAGAGCAGTGGGAACTGCAGGCTCCAGCAAGTGAGAAAATTGCTCCAAGGAATTTGCAGACTTCTGAGAATTTGGTACTTTAGTAGTTCCACAGCTGTTACTGCCATCTTCTGCAGTCCTTCAGGACACCTAGAAGGTATTTACAGGTGCTGCACTTGCTGGGTGGCCCCTTCACAGTGAATGTGCTTGTGAATTCCACCATCACTCCAAAGGATGGACACAGGAAGAGTTCCTAACCCCCAAATTGGGTCAGTATCAGAGTCTGGGAGAATGAAGGACTGAGACTGGGTTAGCTTTAGTTTTGCAGTGGAAAGGTCAGAGATAATATTAGCAGGGCTGCATATTACCATGCCACATGCTAGGCAAGAAGGAAAGAGTGTGAACACCCAGGATTTACAGCAAAAGGGTACACCTGAGTCACATATACACTGAAGTATGTGAATGAAGTTCCCATTGGGTATCTTCTAGGTTTTTGTGTTTTGTTTTATTTTATGTTGTGTCTTTATACTTATATTGTGTGTGTGTGTGTGTGTGTGTGTGTGTGTTTGGTTTTCATTTTTATATCTGTATTTGCTTTGATTTAGTTGTTATATAGCTTCTCTCTCATCTCTCAGTATAGTTTCTTCACCTCAAATCCCCATAACAATGCACTACTTCTTTTTTGTGTCACAGTATATACACTCTTCATTTCAAGCGTTTATTTTGCCATATCCTGTTCTCTTTCAGTCACTGCTATCTTCCCCTATATGAACCCTCTATCTTCTCCAACCTAGTCCTTTGGCTCCTCCATATGTTTCCTAGTCTGCACCCTCTCATGACTGTTAACCTCATTACAGAGAAACAAACTTAATCAAGTTCTGACAGTCATATAGCTTTTCTCAATAACAAAGCACACCTCCCTCCTCTCTCATCCTTGCCTCTACAAATATCTTCCAAAAATCCTCAGTTCTAACCTTTAATTCTACTAAAATAAGATATGCTCACAGAAAGCTAAAGAAAAATGATCCCAGTCCAAGCATGGTGGCACATGCCTGTGATCCCAGGAGTCAGGAAGATGAAGCAGGAGGATTATTGCAAGTTGAAGGTGAGTTTGGGCTACATAGTGAACTCAAAGCCAGCCTAACCTACATAAAGAAACCTTATCTCAAAAAACTATATTTAATGTAAGTAGTCTAGAGATGCCAATTAAAAAATATTCTCAAGTTAAATAATAAAAAGGAGAGAAAATTATAGACTGTTTAGAATAAACTCTTCATTGTAAAGAGAATTAAAAATAGATAAGACATTAGAAATGACATAGAATTTTTAAAACAAACAAGATGATAGAAATTCAATAATAGTTGTTATATTGCACATTATTGTTTTCAAAATAGTTGCTCAAATTACCAGATATAAGCATGTAAAATTTGTGAAAACAAAAATTTTAGGCATTCTATTTTATAGGGTAATAATATCATTAAACTTCTCTCCTGGAGGCTTAACAACTTAAGTTTTCAAAACAAAAATTAGAGAAAAAGAAGTACTGCAAGGACAGCCAACATTTTGGCCCTAGCCTTTCAAGGTCAGTGAGGACTCAGGACATAGGAGAACCTGTACTCAGTGATGTCCCAAATTTTCTGATCAAGGAGATTATGGGGCCACAGAGGAAAGTGATCAATGATGTAGAGTGTGCCTAAGGAGAGTCACCTAGAGAGAAAACATTCTCTCAGGCTTTCACAGAGAATAAATAGGTAAAGCAATGGCCGTGACTCACCCACATGGATGACACTGACAAAGGATCTACAAAGTGTGGTACAGAGTTTCAGGCTAAATCTTGAGGGGATTTGACTGACCTTGTCAGATACAAAAGTGACATTTCTTGTTATATAGCTCTTGCTTTCTCTTGGTCTTAACCCTCCAGCAGAAAAGTATAAAAATGAGGTATAAAAAGTAAGGTCATATTAATATGCTGAGCTGTAAAAGGCTCAA